GAACGATTCTAAAAATAACTCTTCCTTTGAAATATAAATCTATTTATATTTCAATGGTATGTTTTCAGCCTTGAATTCCCAAAATAGAATCTCTCTACGCTTATTCTTTAACAAAGACATTTTATAAAAACGAAAGAGATTTAATTCTTTTATTAATACAAAAGTATTTACTTATTGTAATATATATATATATATATATATATATATATAAAGATTATATATAAATATTTTATAAAAATTACTATTGTTCAATTTCAAAAATATGCACCCCATTAAAAAAAGTTTTAAAAAAAACACTGGAAAGATATGTATTTTATTTTAAATGAAAATAATTGTATCAGAAATAGGTCAAAAAGTAGAAAAAGCATCAAGAAATATTTTATGTGGAAATGTTTTTTTAATCTGCCTAATTGACTGTTAATGTTGATTATCAAATCAAGGAATTAATTAAAAATAAAATTTTCTAAATAGGGAAATTAAAAGTGTTAATATGTTTTTGATTCCGAGTATATGAGTCGAATGATTAGTTAAACAGAGATACTGATTTAAATGCAGTTTTCTAGGAAAATTGAGCAGGACAGCTTTTTTTTATGAAAGGAAATAAGCGCTAATTGACTAAGTTTTAGTGTTTTTGAAACATCTTTAAAAACAGTATAGTTTAAATATTTTTTTAAAACTAATTGCAGTTCAAAAAATATACGCATGCGTTGAAAAAAAGCAAAAGAGAAAAAAAAACACTGGAAATTTATGTATCTTATTTTGAATAAAAAAAAAATAATTTTATCAAAAGTAGGTCGAAAATCCTAAGCCTCTCGTATTGAAAGCATCATTAATCAAGAACTATTTAACGGTGAAAATATTTTTTTAATCTACCTGATCGACTGTTTATGTTGATTATCAAATCATATTCAATACTCATTAACAATTCATTGGCCATAGTACAAAATATAATAAATAAGATGTAATGGTGCAGGTTGATAGATACAGCTGTGGATATTTGTAGGAAATCCTTTTGTTTTACGCTCCAATAAACACAAAATAGGAAAATGCTTCCTAATGTATTGATAATGTGTTTTGCGTGAAGAATCGATCAAAGAAAACAATGATAATGAGAACGGAGTGAATTATTTATGCGTTAACACTTTTCTTGTCAACAACATAGTCGTCCTCATCAGATTTTTTTTTAATGTTTTATATAAGTTTTTTTTAAAAACTTGGTAGGTTAGAAAATCGTTTTGAGGTTATTAGATTTAGCTAGAATTTTGAAGAAAAAAATCGTCTTTTTTCTCAGTTTTTTTTTTAAAGTTTGTTGCCTTTTCGCACATATTAAAATGATATATCCTAAATTATGAGTCTTGAATTAAGTCTCAAAATACTATGTATCGAAATTACATTCTTAAAATAGGAGAAACTTATAAATCAAAGCAATCTTCACACATTGACTTCATGTTTCTTTAATGAACATGTATGATTATTATATTTTTGAATGGTTTTTTTTTTGGTGTAAAATTTTTTTTGGAGACTTTTAGCTACTTCGTATTTTTTCTTTTTAATGTGGCGTTTTAGCAAAATATAGTTCATTAAATTATTTCTTACCTTTGTCGCTATTTGCAGAAACAATGAGAAAAAATTACCTTGCATTGTAATTTAAATATTTGCTATTGGCCCTGCGTATTTCAAAAAAGAAACTTTTTTTCATTGAAAAACGCCATTTGTTAATTTTTTTAAAACGTTGTTTTATTTTTTTCTTTGTACCGCTTTAAAATTATTACAATTTTCAGTTGTATAGTTGTAAAACAAAGGAACCCTCGCAAATTATTGATTACCTTGAAATTTTTTTTCTAAAGCACTGCTTAAATGCTCTGATTCTTTAAATCCCGTACATGAGTGTTGGAGTTATAAGAGTAATTAATATATAATTAGCTGACTATTACTGTATAAAAGTTGAAACACAAAATAAATAATTTTTTTTTATCAACTCGGAAGGGAGAAACCGTTCCTTAGACCTCTATTTCACGATGAGCTTGTGTACGATGCACTGAGAAAAAAAGTATGGTCAAAACTACCAGAATGTGGGAAAATTTACGGTATATCTAGCTCTATTGTAACTCGAAGAAACTCGGAAATTTTTATAGAAGCGTTTTTGTAATAATTTCAGTAATTATTTTGGTAAAATTAACGGTAAAAAATGGTTTTATATAATGTGATAAAGTCTGGTAAATGTAATAAATTTTGGTATTTTTATAATGGTACCTTAGATCGTGGTATAAAAATATTTATTCGGTTAAATTTATTTTTCTGTTCTGTATTTTTTACAAATTATGTGGCAATCAGAAGCAAATTTTGAATCTCATAATTTTCAGTAAGCCGTTACCATATGAACAGAAGATTTACCAAATGAATGGTGTAAATTCTGTACATTTTGGTTTTATTAATCAGAAATATGCTTTTTTTTCACCAGAAATGTCATTACCATAGTACGGTAATTTATCAGAATTTTTTCCCCCGCCTGAATTCGTTGGGGTAAATTGTGTGTTAATAAGAACCATAATTTTGTAAATCAAAATTTTCAGTAAACTGTTACCGTATGAACGGAAAACTTACCAAATAAATGGTGTAAATACTGTATATCTTGGTTTTATTAACCATAATTATGTTTTTTTCCACCAAAAATGTCATTACCATATAGTATGGTAATTTATCAGAATTTTTCACCCCACGTGAATTCGCTTTAAATTTTGACTCTTCTAAATTAAGAAAATTGCTGCTACTAACTGTTGCTACACGTTTCAAATTTTGACTCTTCAGAATTAAGAATACTGTTGCTACTCGTTTCAAATTCTGGCTCTTCTGAATTAATAAAATTGTTGCTACTAATATGTGCGATATATTGCAAAAGAGAATAAGATGTAAGTTCTTTATAAATGGAAATGATCTGCTTAACAAAGAATGGAAGGAGATGTCTCAACAAGAAGCATATTTTATTACCGCTTGGTATATAAATCTTTGCATATTTATCACTCACAAAAAGTATTCCACGTAATTTTTTTTAAAGAAATTATGTATCGCTTTTTACCTTTATTTTTCTTGTTTAATTTCCAGATTATAAGTGGTAATTTCTGTAAACTTTATTCATTCCGTGAAAATAGATCATATAATGTAATATTGTTTAACATCGAATACTTCATACGCGTAATTATAAAGGTTTTTAAGTGAA